CGTAAGAGGATGGAGTCAGACCAGAAAAGAGAACAGGCAAGAATTTATATTAGACAGGAGATGGATAGATGGCGAAAGATGGAGGATCTTGGACTGAATACTGATTAGGAATTTGCCTGTCATTGATTATAATCCAATATCCAATGTTTGATGCGTGAATATGTTATGAACAACACTACTAAAAGTGTTATCTGATAAATATTGAATGAAAATAGTTGTGTTATTCACTTTAATTTAATATTGACAACATGTGTTTGTTCTTTTTTCTCTCAGTATATATGAGGAGGAATTTGACATCATCATGTTCCAATTGATCCAAAGACAGTGCGTTCTCAACTGCGTGCCTTCAGTCTAAGACCCCGCCGGCCATATGTTGGATCACAGCTTAACGCACGGCGACGTGCCAGACGAATGCAATGGCTGAACACACATTCCGTAAGACGCTTCCCAATGCAATGTTGGAGAAGGGTTCTGTTCTCAGACGAGTCAAGGTTTTCACTTTACTGGGCAGACGGCCGATGTCGTGTCTATAGATGTACCCACGAGCGCTATGCAGATGCTTGCGTGATAGAGAATGACCGCTTTGGAGGATGATCGATCATGGTATGGGGAGGGATTGCGCATGGTATCAAGGCTCCTCTGGTCATTATTCAGGGAAATCTCATGGCCGTCCGCTATACAGATCAGGTCCTAGCGCCGCATGTTGTTCCTCTAGTACAGCAGCGTCAACTGACGTTTCAGCAGAACAACGTCCAGCCGCATGTAGCATGGGTTTGCCGTGGTTATCTCGCAGCAAACAAGGTCCCCACCCTAGACTGGCCCTCGTATGGCCCTGACTTCTCCCCAATAGAACATTTATGGGACGAGTTGGACAGAAGAATAAGACGTAGGCTGAATCCTCCAATCAACGTCGCTTAGTTTGCGTTGGCGCTGGATGAGGAATGGAATCGTATACCAATGAGGAGGGTTAATACCCCAATCAATTCCATGTACAAAAGAGTCAGTGCAGTTACTGCAGCTCGCGGGGGTTGGGGGGGGGGCACACACGATATTGATGGGTCCAGAACGCACTTCATTTTGAGTGGGGTATTCTTGAATCAACGTCAAATTTGAAAGGTTTACTTAACGTACATGAATGAAATTCTCGTAGATGACAGAGTGGTCAACTATCTTCCAGTTACACCATAATTACATTATAAAACCCTTTTCTATTTCCTGTAGTTGACCTGGAAATTCCTAATTGTGTTTCTTTTTCCTCACAGTATAATCACAATTTCTATTTTAAGTGGTATGGACACAACACCACTTTTTGGTGTCCATAGTTGAAATGAGATGTTTTCACACGCAAAAATAAATGTTAACATATCTGTTTTATTCAATGTTGTGAGACAAGGTGAATGGATTAAGATTGAGAAGATCAATGGAATGTATTCACTTTACAGAAATGTGCATTAATTTACATTTACAGCATTTTGAACTATTAGCATCTTTATGTACTATTTTGTGTCATGTTATATCCAAAGACATAGTAATATGATACTTAATATGACATTAACTTGTGTTTTATTTCAGCCTTGTGATTGTGTATATCTTGGCAAAAGATGTTGGTGTCCTGATAATAGCGAATGTAAATGAAAAACCTCTGAACATATTAAAAAGAAATTAAATCATTTAGTGCTAATTTGAATACATGTTGGTATATATATGTTTTACAATATATTACAGGCACGTATCACAGATCAGTTTCTGGCTGTTTAACGCAGATCTGCACTACCACAATGCAAATGATCTATATACAGGAGTGGTGGTGATGCAAGTCCTATGTTACGTCCATGACATTACATCAATATATGTAGGCCAACAAATGAACATGTTGTGTTTGAAATGACAGAATTTATCAGGAACAAATCTAATATTACATATTGCAGTTTGGCATCCGTATTTACATCCTGATGAATAACTCTCAAATGTGACTGATATAATTGATTCTTGGCTTGTTAAAACTCACGAAAACCCTGAATATTCAAGAAAGACATTGTTAAATTTAACTCATGGCGCTAGTTGTTTTTAGGATGCAAAGGACACCAAACACAATTTAGTGTCTTCATTACATCTTTCCATTTTGCAATAGATTTCCTATTTTGATGATGAAATGTGCACAGAGAGCACTCTATGTAAAACAACTTTGTGTGACATTACTTTTAACATTAAAACCTAATGTATGACAGGTATATCAGGTAACACAGGACACCATAATTGCAACCGGTGAATAAAATCAGTCATGAGATGAAAGTTTTTAAACATTACTCATTCACAATGTAGAAAAAAATGCATCTTCGTCTATTAGTAACCAATAAAGCTAGTTGATTGCAAAATTGGTTTCCAGTTACGTCCACCAATTATTTTTGTAAATAAGACTTATTCAATGGTCAAAAATTGAAGATACAAATATTCATGGTAATACATGTTTTATATAGAAAGTAATTTTCCATGAATTTAACGATAAAATGTACTTGAGAAGAAAATATATTCCCAAATTAACAGCCTTTTGTGTGTTGTTACATCCAGGAACTGTACATAAACAGCTATTTTCTCCATCATTCAGAGCCAAACTATCTTCTCCTTTATTGGTCAGGATGCAACATCAATTTATAATGGGAAATCTACAACATGATGTTTCACCTTGTTTTGAAATTTAAAAAATAATGGTTTGAATTGACATGAGGAACATATTTTACCCTGAGAATGATCAGAAACATGTAGGAAAATGATAAAACAGCATTAGGTTGTGATGCATCTGGATCTAGATGCAGTTGATGTCACATTCCTGCCTCTAAGCATTAATTAATACACAGTAACACCTGCACACATACAACATCATTAACATCCACATGTATAACAATAAATGTGGAAATATGTTAAACAACCCCTTCATCAACATTTAATCACTTCAAATCAGTAGCACTGTGTTGTACAGTTTTAATGGCAAAGCGCTTTGAGAATTGCAAATCAACAACAGTGTTATGAATACTAGTAATATATTTTAAAGGAAAATTGAAGATATTTTAAAATGCAATAAATTAGTAAACATTTAATGATGTAGTATGATATTAAAATCAAGTAAATAAGTATTTTGTAGTGAAGTAAACCATTGTTTGAATTTTGAGAAAAAATAATCAATGTCCATGTCTGATGTGTATTATTTGTTACATGTTATCATTTCAGTTCTAGATCTGTTTTTGGTTTTACAAAACTTTCCATATCCTTTTGTATTGAAGAAGCCAGCATTTGAATTTTAATTAATGTTATAACACCTTAGGACAGACAACACGATGTACCATCACTGCTGAAATAAGATAGATCATAAAACTGCCATATTATAAAAAACTTTTGATGTATTAATACCAATCTGTACTGGCTAGATGTGCTATAGTAGAAATGACCTCACAAATTTTGGATGCTTGAGATTTCGAACATAACCGAAAAAGGCAAAGGCATGGATAGGTAACCAAGCTCAACTGTAACAGATTGCACTCCGCTACAACTGCATGAAGATGTGAAAAAGGACTTGGGGTACTACCCAGTGACATCCATGTCAAAATATAGAGACCTTCAAAATATTGTTGCTGGCTGGATACCTATGAGGAAAATATGAACAAAACCAGACTTGTAATAAAATTAGACATCTATGTAGAAACTACATCATTATCTATCATTGACCAGTCAATGTACAGGTTAATGTTAATCTTGGTAGTGATTATATGGAGAGTAATATGCATATGTTGATAATTACAATGATTCATAGTAAGGTTTACATTGGTAGTACTACAAACAATTGAAATTTGATCAATGTTAGTGCATAGAGGCCTCATGCCTGTGCAATTACATAAATATCTTGTACATGTTTGTCGCTATTCTGTAAAGTGACTTGCAGTAAAAAAAAATTTGATTGAATTTGCATGTTTTATACACTTTCAGTTTCTGTGCTGTCCTAATATTCAGTCAATTTCCATTGTCCAGTTTGAACACTTAATTTATTCAAGAAGTCCCTCTCAAATTTAAAGCTAATATCATCATGTGACAAGTTTGAAAATGAGGCATTTCATTTGTATACACGTAATGAGCAATATGTAGTGACACATTACGTAAACACGTTTTTGGCACCCAAATTTGTTGGATGAGTAGACACTGTTTGATAACTCAAATTCAATTTAGAAGTACAAAAAAAGTGACAAAGCCAGTCATCATCTCTGTAAAAGTCTCACACCAGTCATACAGGTATTGCAAACACCATACATCTGGTGGTGGGCTTTTCAAATTGCCCATCCATTGTCAGTCCATAAACAACTTGTATTATCTCTATTTCTTGTAGTGCTGCAAGAATATTTCTTCAACTTCATATGTAGGTTCTCCTTAGTACCTAGTTTAGGCCCATTTAAGTTTTAGAATTTGAGGTCATCTTTAAGACAGTTGAAGTTTGTTATCACCCAGGGCTCTCGATCTGCCAGATTTGGGGCCGAATTCCCAATGCAAAATAATATCTTTTTTTCCCAATTTAGACCCCAAGTTTTCCCAATTCTAAGGGCCCCAGTCCCAAAATGGGGTGTGAGATCCTTGTCACTATTTCTTGAGAAGTGAATTCAAGCCAATTTTTGGCAAGTCTCATATAAAGTTGCTAATTAACCCTTTTAAGAATCAAAGTTTTATAAATCAAATTAGTTTTTTTGACAGACTGCAGACAGTTAACAAAAATAACAAGGTCATTTGCAACTCCTATGTTCCTCAAAGGCACTACCTGACAAAGGGATTACCTAGCAGGTACTCTTTATTACAGAGTGAATTAATGACTGGATGCAAATCTTTCGAGTCACAACTGAGTGTGGAATCCTTTGTTCGAGCTTGAAGGGAATTAATCTGTTATAACACTTAACTATTGTTGACTGGCCATGAATGCTCATTTTGCCAATGCACTCAGTAAATTTGATTTATTATCTTTTCAGTTGCGTGCTGATGTTGTGCCGAAAACGGCAGGTAAGTAACTGTGTAACACCCAAGTACTTTTTTTTTGCTCGCTAACACTACACGAGCCCCATGAACTTTCAGGCCAGGATAACAGTGATTCAGCTAGAAAAAAGTGGGAATAGGTCCATTGTCCTAACCCCTTAAAAATGTTTAGGACAAAGACCTGCTGCTGAAGACAGCAGGTGAGGAGAGAAGCGACGAAAGGGGGGTAGGGGGGGGGGGGGTCCGTGGAGCCTTCTCTGGAAAAAAAATTTAAATCTAGAAGCTTAGATATATGCATTTTCCTGAATTCTCAGTGTAAAATTAGGGATAGTAAAAAGACCCACTATAGCCGTAGATCGGTTTTGGTGATTACTCTATGGAAAAGTCTAGAAGTATTGCGAACAATTCGTTCTGAAACAACGTACTTTCATTTTTGTCCCAAAACATGTCGGACACGTTAAGACGAATCGGGGTCGGTCAATTTTCATATGAGATAGAAAAAAATTCAGTCATTTTTTTTTTTTTTTATTGAATCGGTTAGTGACCGATGACCGACACCTATCAGAATCACTGGATACTGAATAGTGTTGCTAACAGTGTATCAGGCCTGGACATGGGTACTGTATTCTGTAGGTATCTGTTGCTGTATTGAGCCATTGTACTTTATCATAGTAATCTGATCTGGCCATGAGTACAGTATTTTGTAGTTATCTTGTATCAAGCCCCAGTAATGTATTGCGAAGTCGGCTAACACTGCCAGGCCTGGGTAAAATCCACTGTATTGTGTAGTTCTCTGTTGTGTCGGACCTGGCTACTGTAGTTTGCATTATTGCACATGCAGAATGTGCCTGCTGACCACTACATGCCATAAGAGACCACTTACTGTAGGGCACATTTGCAAGTGAAGAGTTGATCCTCTGAAGTATTCTGTTTCTGGGAGAATCCAAAAAAGGGACTACTGCATCCCAATGCCCTTTCTAGGAGACAACAATATTGGAAACTCTGCAGAATCTGTTATTTTTCTCCAAGAAGGACAATAAAGTGACAATATAGGTCTGCTACGCACATATAAAAAAATATCACACTGCAGCACTTTCCAAATTAGTGTTTCAGTCATTTCCTTTCTTTCTTCCCTGCCTGCTCTTTCATTCAGTGCTGTATTTTTCACTGAATATGTCCAAGGCTTATGTGAGGATGTTAAACCCAGTTAAAAAATATATATATATATATATATTGTAGAAAATGTGTTGGCAATTTAGTATCTTTCATTATATAAAATTTGATTGTGCTCAGTCACAAAAATACACGTATTCTGATGATCAATTATTTAACATTGAACTGATCATTACACCAGTTTTAATGATCGCATAATTTATTATATTCCATCATCGTTCAATTACTAGAATTTATATAAGTATCAAGACTTGATGATTGCAATTAATAATGGGTTGTTGTTTCCATCAACAGAAAATTTTAGATCTTTGTGCACTGGTGAGAAAGGATTTGGGTATAAAGGTTCTAGCTTCCATCGAGTCATACCTGGATTCATGTGTCAGGGAGGAGACTTCACAAATCATAATGGCACTGGTGGGAAGAGCATCTATGGAAACAAGTTTGAAGATGAAAACTTTCAATTAAAGCACACTGGACAAGGTAATTCCAAATTTATATTATTACTCACTTGTTAAGAGTCTCCTACCATCCTCTTGAATGAAAATCTAGTCCTACAATATCTTGAATCTTCAATTTATTCAATTGTTATGTATTCTGTATAAATTGGCTTGTAAAACAGCTACAACTCATGAACAGGGCTGTATAAATCCATTAGCCTAATGGCCGGGGCTACCAAATTTTAAGCTTGATCTAGTGGAAATAATAATATAGGCCCCACCCTAGACTTTTGGCAATTTTTTGGCCCACCCTGCTTGCGTGATCTGTCCGTTCGTGAACAACTTTTGTTATCACTATTTCTTGAAGTACTGGATGGATCTATCTGAAATTGCATATATAGGTTCCCCTTTGTCCCTAGATGAGCTGGTTAGATTTTGGGACTGATGAAAAAAAAAACCAATTGGATGACAGGTGGCCGTCTTGGATTTTTTCAATAAAATTTGTTAATGCTATTTCTTGAAAAGCACTGGATGGATCTCACTCAAATTTAATATGTAGATTCCCATTGGTTTCTAGATGTGGCCATGTAGTTTTGCAACTGACGAAAAAAATAAAATGTCTGAAATGTGGCCATGTTGGATTTTGATTTTGAAAGTTTGTTATCACAATTTCTTGAAAACTTTTGTATAGATCTTTCTCAAATTTTATGTATAGGTTCCTTTTTGGACCCTAGTTGTGCTTGTGTTAGTTCGGGACTGACACGAAAAACAAAACCAGGCAGCAATCTTGGATTTCGCCTAGTAAAGATTGTTATCCCTATTATGGGCCAACCTCTTGAGACATAGTTTCTGGGTTATATCTTTGAAACAATTGAGATCTTAACCCCTTAACCATAGATTACATGCTAGGCATCAAGAGATGCACACAATCGAAATGTTAGAATTGACTAATAGGAACTTGCTTTCTTGATAATATCTGTGAAACAGTTGAAATCCCTGCCTCTAAAACCATATATAGCAATGCTGGACATCGAGAGATAACGCATTCACAATGTAACAACATTAACTCTTACTGGGTTTCAAAAGAGAAAGACAGTCATGATATAAGAATTTACCCATTGGTCTTTCCCCATCAAAGGGGTTAAGTGACTGAGCTTTAATTTGGATTATTTGAAATATCTGATCTTTAGGCATGTGTACCATTGCTGGGCTTCAGGTGAGCGATTCATGCCTTATGGTCTTCTTGTTTACACAAAATGTTTGTCATATTTGTAATTATAATTTTAAAGCCACTACCATAATCTGTTTTTTTCAGGAATCTTGTCGATGGCTAATGCCGGACCCAACACAAATGGATCACAGTTTTTTCTATGCACAGCAAAGACAGGATGGTATGATATTTGAAATATTGCTCTCCAAGTGAGAGTATATAAATGCCGCTTTGTCCTTCCGTTATAAATTTGTCCAGTGCATAACACAAAATCAATAAGAGGTATCAATGTAAAACTTAATAGGATGATGGATCACATTAAGATGAAGTGCAGTGCATAAGAACAACCACTCTTGCATAATTTAGGAGTCTTTGCCCTTTATTTTTATTACTAAAATTTTGTCTGTAGTATTACACTAAAACTACAATAGGTATCAACATGAAACTTCATAGGTTGATAGATCTCAACAAGTAGAAGTGCAGTGCACAAGAACCATCACTCTTTTGCATAATTTAGGAATTGTTGCCCTTGTTATTTTTTATACTTAAATTTTGTACAAAGCACTACACTAAAACTATATGAGAAATCAATATAAAACTTCCTAGGTAGACAGGGCAGTGCACAAGAATCATAACTCTTCTATTGACCTTTGCTATTTTTCATACTTAAATTTTGTCCCCATTGGAGAGAATAACCCAATTCTGACGGTCCTGTTAAACCACTTTCCTTTACAGCACAACTCCCTTCCCCACTTTACCTTCCTTTTTGGGAACTCAGTGACGTACCAGATACTCCAATTGTGATGGCAATTATCCCTATATTTCATAGATATGCCTTATCTATTGTGTTAAGTTATTTCCTCTTTTCATAAAGTTATGCTTCTTTGCAATATTTTTGATATCATAAAAAGACTCTGAAACATGGCATTGCAAAATGACTTCAGATTTTTTATTTCTATTATTGAGTGATAACATTAAACAAAATAATAATGGCCATTGAAAATGCTTGTCTCTGGCAAGATTAAATGTCATTTACAAGAGTAGACTCCACAAAATTGTTTTACTTTTAGTTCCTCCATACTTGTGTGTTGGCTCACATTTTGTGTTTATGACTATATCCAAAGTTAAAGCTTTTTGTGGGGGTTGTCCATCACTGAGTATTTGTACAAACATGTTCAGTTTTGGCATCAAGCTTCAATGAAATAAGAATGTATATCCAAAATTAAATACCATACTATTATTTCTATGAATAAATCTGTTTGTGGGGTATGCGTTGTCCCCTTGATGACAGTTCTAGGTTGCAGCTGATTTGCTTACTCAGTAGTCACTGTTAAGTAAAATGACAAAAAGTTGATCAATGATAAATCAGACTTGGATAATAATCACTAATTTTCTTCGTTAAAACTCTGTTGATTGATTAGAAAATGTTTTTGACATTTAAAAATGTGTTTACTTTTTTTCCCAGTATAAATATACACTTTTGTTTCTACAGGTTGGATGGTAAACATGTGGTTTTTGGGTCTGTAGTGGAAGGAATGGATGTGGTGAAGAAAATTGAAAGTTTTGGCTCTGAAAGTGGAAGAACAAGTCAAAAGATTGTCATTGCTAACTGTGGTCAGCTTTAAGCTCTATGAGAACATTTATGACTGACAAGTGTACAGCCATTTTCATCTCCACATGCATTTGGTTCTTTTCGCTCCTACATATAGTATTAGCCGTTTTGTAATGGTCTTTGAACAACTTTGATCCCACCAAACTGTCATGCATATTTTGTTATTTTTGCTTAGGTGGTATTCTTGCATATGAACAGAATAAAAATGCTGTACACATATTATGCTTTTGTTGTCAGTACTTCTGTGTAACGACTGAAGTCTTCCAACCACCTATCTGTTTGGCTCTTTTTGGCAAAGTAAGAGAGGTTTACATTTATGTCATTGCCCTAACATCGACGTCACCGTAAATATGTTGGATGATTGAGATACATTGATCCTTAATTGAGCACATCAAATTTTGAGTCGGATCAGGGAAATAAAATGGCTGACAGGCGGCCATCTTTGATTGTCATTGAAAGAAAGTTTGTTTTTTGCTATTTCTTGTGAAGTACTGAATTGATCTCAAATTTTGCTGATCAGAAAAAAAATTAACGGCCGATAGGCGGCATTCCAATATATTATCTATGAATTTTTTTTTAGCCCACCATCAAACGGCTATTCGAAGTCGCCTGTCCATAAATCATTTTTTGATTGAAATTATTGATCTTAATACAATTTTGTATGTAGGTTCCCCTTAGTCTCTTGATGTTTTGATGTTTCATTTTAACGAGGAAGTCTTTTATCGCTATTTCATGAGAAGTAGTGAATGGATCTTTCTCTAATTTCATAGGTATATTTCCCTTTGTCCCTTGTGCTCTTATGATCTTAGGACTGATAAACAAAATTGCTGATGTATCGCCATCTTGGATTTTGTCATTGCTTTTTCTCGTGAAGTACGGAATGGATATTTCTCAAATTTCATATGTAAGGATCCCTTGGTTCCTAGTTGTGCCCTTTTGAGTTTTGGACAGATATAATAACAAAAGGCCAACAGGTGGCTTTCTTTGATTTCAACAATGAAAGTTTGCCATGCTTTTTCGTGAAAAGCACTGGATTGATCATTCTCAGGTTTCATACCTCAGTTCCCCATGACCGTTTGTTGTGTCCTTATTGTAGGAATGATCAGAAAAACTAAATGGCCGACAGACGGCCATCTTGAGTTTGCATAATGAAAATATGTCATCACTGCTTCTTCCAAGATATTTCTCATATTTCATATATGTAGGTCCCCCTCAGTGTACTGTTAGACCCTTTGGATATTGAGACTGACAAGAAAAACGTGATCTCTTGTTTCCTTTACGTATGTACCGCTAGATAGAACACTGTCTCTTGCTTCAGTCCTTTATAGGTGTAATATTAATCTTTTTAAAACAAAATAATACAATTCATAACTTTAACTTTGATTATGTTGGTCTCTATTTACAATGATAAAACTTTATCTTCTCTTTTAATTGATTTTGATTATGAATAGTCTGTTGGAGGAGGGAAATATTTGGAAAAATGACAGTAGCATGCTGTGATGGAGCACTATCAAGTTTCCTGTGATTAATGGTTTCACCTAACGGTCACTGCACAAAATTACCTCATTAGGTAGAATTATTGTCATACGGAAGCTCAGGTTCAGGTTCTTACATGTCTTCCGATTTGTCGGATACAGTGCAGATACACAGTAGTCGTACAATATATTACAGTAACGCGATACAGCAGAAATCCATTCATACCGACTACTCACACAAAACTATGACGTCATTCGGATGAGCACCTAAGGCATTGTGCATTGCGTTCTTAGAGTTCAGAGTAACACCCAAATGCTAATGACTATCTGTAAAGTCTAAAATAATTCCATCTAATTCAGTACTGCTTATTTATCACGTCCGTGTACCCGTTTTATCAGGATTAAAATTGAAATTCAAGAGTTTTAGATAAACAATGTTGAGCTTAAAGACTGAACATGTTAATTTTGGAAGTTGCTAGTTACAGCCAATATATATATATATATATATATATATAATATTTATTAATACATTTAAAAAATCATGAAACAGTTTCATTGATAATATGTCCTACATACCCATTTGTTAATGACTAAATGATTGAACTCATTTCTCCGCCTGTCGCTGTCATTCAGACTAGGTTAACGGGGAGGGGGATGTGTATACTTCAAGTCGAATCAAATGCCAATACTTTAAAAACTTTTAATTTTCTTTGAAGTGTTTTTCGATTGGTAATAACTTTACTTATGTCGCACCACTGTTTCCTTGACTTGCGAACCTGGTTAACAGACCAGTCAAATGAGTGGAATGGTGTGTCTGCGTGTTGTTGGCATAGGAGAGGCCTGGATATCTCGGACAAATGTTGCAAGACAGTTTGTACATTTCAAATACAATTGCATGATAAATGGTTTGTGGAGGCGTTTAGACGAACACGGAACGGGCATGCCCACCAGCGAACAGGCCGTCCGCGCGTGACGTGGGCAAGAGAAGTATATACGGACGTTGTATTTGCGTAATCGCATCAAGTCTTCATCAACCGTTTGAAGTATTTCGGAACTAAAGCAGATCACTTTCAGAACATCACGAGAGGCAAACATCCACCCACGATTTCCACGTGCTTCAACATGAAAGATGCATATTTTACCACATTGTGACGATCTTTGAATTAAGTCATTTGCGAAAATCCCCAGACGCTACATTTGAAAGGAATACCCTCATGATCAATGTAATTATCAGCCAATCTTTATTACCGGATCGATGGCCATGAACCCTGACCTTTTTGTCAGTTTTGTTTTTTTAACGGATTCCAGTTTTAGTTAAGATAATACTTCGATTTTAAGAGTGTCATTTGATTTAACAAACTTAAAAATGCATTGCAACCAGAAAATTGAAAATTTTGACAAAAGCTGAAATCGTTTATTTGACTACGTTCTAAAATTGAATATTTTAAAAGACTTCACGCTTTAGAGAAATGACCGAAGATGTTTTTTCATGAAAGGGTCGCTGTTTTATACTTTCATCCAATTAGCAATTCTTACCTTGATTAAATATCAAGCTGAGATGTTTGCTATAGGTATAATTGAAAATGACATTTAAAAACACGAAAGTCTTAAGAAGTTACGTTGGATTTAATTTTATATTAAATTATGTTCTTCTTCCAGTCTGACATGACCTTCATAAATTTATTTTAACATATTTAGGTTACCCTCACCTAATTCGTACAAGGTCTAACAGGAAATACCTTTCTGGTGTTTTAAACTTGATTTTATTTCGATAAGTTTTCGTTTGCTGCTACCAGAGATTTTATCTCAGAATCTAAATAACTGATATTTTGATGATGAAATCTAAATCAGTATTGTGACGAGACCCTGTCAATGTTGCTCAGTGGGACTGTATGACGTAAAGTAAGGCAAACGGTAGTCAGAGTAGTAAAAGTGAAAACAAACTTTCAGGTTAATCGGAAAATGCTCATGGTATACTGTGCATTGTTTTCCAGCACAAAATGTCATTTGATGCTACTTGTATAAGACTCGGTAATGAATTTCGATTTTCGAATTGAAAATAAATATGTTGTTTATCTGAAAACAGAAACAACTGGTCGTTATTTCAGATGTATACCGATCTATGTTTATTCTATGATTATGTAAAATTGCAAGAAAATCTCCAATTGATATTTGTGCCTTTAGCACTTTCTTTATTTCAAATAGTATCACCCCACTGGCAAAAAGAAGTTGTAGAATTAGTGTTGTGTAAATGATTTTATTGCATTCCAATTATATCGTATAAGAGAAAGGGAAAAGAAGTATTGTAAGGTCATTATACCTAGATTATGTTAGAAATATTTACATTATTTTCTATACGAAGGTGCGGTGATTGCTTGATTACATTTTCACATCAGAGTTATCTGTATCATGTTTTAGCTTTCTGATTTCCAAGTGAGGCTGCTGTTCTGCTTCCTGTTCCGAGTCGCTGTTTCCGTCAAAAATCTCTCCACAATTCGATACCACTACTCGCTTTGTAGTTTGTCCAGAATCACTTCCGGCAGACTCCATTTTCTTCAAGGTTTTGTAACCTTTTAAAAGTTGTCCAAAAACTACGTGTTTACCATCCAGCCTGTAATTGAAATACATTCCTGTGGAGTTGATGAGGAATATCTGGTTAGAATAAAACGACTTGACGAAAGACAAGTTTAAAGTATCCTTCAATACATATTAAGAATTAGATACAAGAGTGCCAAAGAATGAATGCATTATACAGTTGTTTCGTCCTTCTAGGATTCGTCATTGACATTAAGGGGTTTTAATTTTTCAACCTATGAGGCGACTGAAGTAAACCAAACACGATTTAAAGAAATGCCATATTTAGGTGTAGAGGTGAACTGGCTACATAATTCGTTAAATTCAACAAAATCACATATATTTAGGACCCTGAATATAAAGACTTGGCACCATAGATACAACTATTTCTTTATACCATGAAGTCCACTGAACTGCGTACACATGTATGTTCATCATAATTTTTTTCAGTTTAAGGCCACAGAAGTCAGACGTGTTTAAATACAACATAAAAAACAAGGAAAGTCTCAATACCTCGAACAATGAACATTATCACGATACTTGTCTATATGAAAGATTATATCTTATCGTAATTTGATTGCCTTCATAGTGGCAGAAGTGATATTTTATGCCCCACATGAACGACTGTTTCAAGAGATCACTGCCACAAAGGAATCAATCTCGCATCTAAATTCACAGAGTGGGACTAAGGTTTTGAACTCGTCAAATGACATCAGCGAATGTCTTTTGTAAATGCTATTTAGCTTGATACTTTGACAAGTATGCAGTGTAAATACACTACACATAGTTAAAATAATGTGCTTGGGACTGGAATGGATTGTAATAAACGGTCAAAATAAATGAAAAAAAAAAAACAAACAAAAAATCTTTTAAAAGGGTAACTAACGAATTTCAAAATGACAAGGTAGATCTTAATTTGTCAGTCCAATTTGTAGTTGATGTCTATCAACTGTTGTGGTCATTTTGTCATTATGGTTATTTTTGCACTGATGGAAATGTTAGTGGTCATTATGGTTATTTTTGTACTGATGGAAATGTTAGTGGTCATTATGGTTATTTTTGCACTGATGGAAATGTTAGTGGTCGTTATGGTCATTTTTGTACTGATGGAAATGTTAGTGGTCATTATGGTTATTTTTGCACTGATGGAAATGTTAGTGGTCATTATGGTTATTTTTGTACTGATGGAAATGCTAGTGGTCGTTATGGTCATTTTTGTACTGATGGAAATGTTAGTGGTCGTTATGGTCATTTTTGTACTGATGGAAATGTTAGTGGTCGTTATGGTCATTTTTGTACTGATGGAAATGTTAGTGGTCGTTATGGTCATTTTTGTACTGATGGAAATGTTAGTGGTCGTTATGGTCATTTTTGTACTGATGGAAATGTTAGTGGTCATTATGGTTATTTTTGTACTGATGGAAATGTTAGTGGTCGTTATGGTTATTTTTGCACTGATGGAAATGTTAGTGGTCGTTATAGTCATTTTTGTACTGATGGAAATGTTAGTGGTCATTATGGTTATTTTTGCACTGATGGAAATGTTAGTGGTCGTTATGGTCATTTTTGTACTGATGGAAATGTTAGTGGTCGTTATGGTCATTTTTGTACTGATGGAAATGTTAGTGGTCGTTATGGTCATTTTTGTACTGATGGAAATGTTAGTGGTCGTTATGGTCATTTTTGTACTGATGGAAATGTTAGTGGTCATTATGGTTATTTTTGTACTGATGGAAATGTTAGTGGTCGTTATGGTTATTTTTGCACTGATGGAAATGTTAGTGGTCGTTATGGTCATTTTTGTACTGATGGAAATGTTAGTGGTCATTATGGTTATTTTTGCACTGATGGAAATGCTAGTGGTCGTTATGGTCATTTTTGTACTGATGGAAATGTTAGTGGTCGTTATGGTCATTTTTGTACTGATGGAAATGCTAGTGGTCGTTATGGTCATTTTTGTACTGATGGAAATGTTAGTGGTCGTTATGGTCATTTTTGTACTGATGGAAATGTTAGTGGTCGTTATGGTCATTTTTGTACTGATGGAAATGTTAGTGGTCGTTATGGTCATTTTTGTACTGATGGAAATGTTAGTGGTCGTTATGGTCATTTTTGTACTGATGGAAATGTTAGTGGTCGTTATGGTCATTTTTGTACTGATGGAAATGTTAGTGGTCGTTATGGTTATTTTTGTACTGATGGAAACGTTAGTGGTCATTATGGTTATTTTTTTTACTGATGGAAATGCTTGTGATAATTTTAATAAGTCAAAACAAGTCGTTTCTACTTCAAAAACCATGGCAACAAGCAAAATTTGATCTCAGCCTAAGCTTGAATCAATACCGGTAGTTTATAGATTATCTGACAATTATGTACCTTATAATCAAAGTCTTACAAAACGACCCATGTTGTTAATAGTCATTACCTGTGTGAGAATATCCTATTCACACAATGGTAAAACAAATAGATGCTTATACGTCAACGAGACGAGGGCAAAATATCAAAGAAAGATCCACACGGATATAAATAAGTACAAGACCAAGAAGAGACTGTTGTAACAAATCAGGACTCATCACTTGTAAGTAGGCTAAGTTATTATTTGTAAGTACGCCTAGAACGTACATATGCATGTATTTATGAATATGATTTCTGACAAAATGACGACTTCACTTAATTATTTCGTTCACGTAATATATAAATGAATTTACCACTCAGTTTTGACTGTGCAGATGAAAAACTGGGAACTGTTGGTGTCTTTTCCTGAATTGGCCATGGACAGAACACCTGTTGGAGAGACGATCACTTGAAAATAGGCTATTTTGAAACTTTCCTTTAATAAAATGTTCTGTCAAAGCTCATATCCATGGTATTTGCTTAGAATATATAAATATAAATATTTGTCTGAAAACGATTTTCTCCTTCCTTGCCATTTTAAGCTTTGTGATTAATACAACGAAATACACCGTAGATATATCTAGAAAAACTGTTGTGAAAATTGCGGCACATTAATGTACGGGCTATTTAACGAAATTTGGTGTCCGGACAAGCTAAACAAATACCGCACAACAAGGGATAGAAATGAAAGAGTACCTGGGCCAGTGTGCTCCAATATGAAATTTTCATCCTCAAACGTTCTTCCATAAATACTCATTCCGCCCGTACCATTTCCTCGAACGAAATCTCCTCCTTGACACATGAACTTTGGGATAATTCTATGAAAACTACTGCCTTTGAAGCATAGTGATTCCTCTCTTGATTTTCCATCTTTTCCCAGTTCACCGGTGCATAGTGCCCGAAAGTTTTCTAACAACACGAAGTAACATAAATAGGTCACGTAATACATTTTAAACATAAGCAGAGGGAGTACAAGAATACTATATAGTATTTAAATCTAGAATGCTAATCATATTTATATTACAGTAGGAAATGTTCAAATGTATAGTGATGACTTCAGAGCCAATAATTACCTGAAGGAATGACTTTGATGTGCCTAGTTTCTGTTAAGCTGATGCCAACATAGCGCAAGAGAAAACTTTTTTTCTACTAACTTGTCTATGCGTCAAATCAATTAAATGTATTTCCACTCATTATTGACAGCAATTTCACTTTCAAACAAAAATTGAATTGTGGCCACTACCGAATCCCTCCAAGCTTGGCCTTGTAAATTGCGAATCTCCATTAACATGGAAATACTTTGTCTCAGTAATTCATTGATATTGAAATACTTTAATTGTAAGATTGTCGTTGTTCTGCATTAATATTGAATACAAGTGCATTAAAAATACTTGCTTTTGTACTTACCAGCTGTTAACGGCACAACATCAGCAAAAAGCTGAAATCGAAATCAGGAAGGATTTTTAAGTAATATTTTAGTAAAAGGTGGCGTTTAACATATTCCCCTGATATTGTCATATACATCTGAAACATCACTGAGGCAAAATGAAAATATTCATAAAACATCATAAATGACATTCACGTGAACTTCAGAGTAAGAAGCTGAGACCCAATAAGGGAAATGAGAATACTTTAAGGTCCTTCTCCGCTACTTCTCCCTTAGGCTTACATGGATAGTAAACGTATTTTACAGGAATACGATATCGAAAAAATGAGGATTAAATATGAAGAAAGGTAACATTAATGTTTGATGTGGTTGGAAACCCTTCAAAACGTAAATTGAAAATAAGATATGGTGTTTTAAAAGAAAAAAACTGCTTTATCGACGATATCAGAAAAATATCTAGACCAATAGAATAAATGTAACATGTAGTGACACCGAAAACATTAGGTGTCCTATTTGGGCAGTAACATCGAAACCAATAAGTATACTATCGAGGTTGTAGCAACGAAATCACTAGGTGTTCTATTGGGGTAGTAATAACGAAACTGCTCTTTATATTAATATTATTATTGACGAACAACATCCAAAAAAGATACCATCTCTGTTGAGAGAAATTGGGAAGAGCATTTTAATCATATTGGCATGAAAAACGCCAAAGAAAAAAGCAAAAGATCAAATAAAATTCTACTCAAACGGTAAGTGTATCTATATTATTATAACAGCGTTATTACCATCAGGTATTTTTTAATGAACGTAACTTAATGGAAGAACTATTTTGGAGAGTTGAATCATCAACAATATGAATGATAATTCTAAAAGTATTCAGTAACAGCAGTGTGAAGGACAATTCTGTAAGTATTTAGTAACAGCAGTGTGAAGGACAATTATCAAAGTATTCAAAAACAACAGTGTGAAGGACAATTCTGTAAGTATTTAGGAACAGCAGCGTGAAGGACAATTCTTGAAGTATTCACAAACAGCAGCGTGAAGGACAATTCTGTAAGTATTCACACACAGCAGCGTGAAGGACAATTCTGTAGATATTTAGTAACAGCAGTGTGAAGGACAATTCTGTAAGTATTCAGTAACAACAGTGTGAAGGACAATTCTGTAAGTATTTACAAACAGCAATGTGAAGGACAATTATCTAAGTATTCAGTAACAACAGTGTGAAGGACAATTCTGTAAGTATTTACAAACAGCAGTGTGAAGGACAATTCTGTAAGTATTTACAAACAGCAGTGTGAAGGACAATTCTGTAAGTATTCACAAACAGTAGTGTGAAGGACAATTCTGTAAGTATTCAGTAACAACAGTGTGAAGGACAATTCTGTAAGTATTCACAAACAGTAGTGTGAAGGACAATTCTGTAAGTATTCAGTAACAACAGTGTGAAGGACAATTCTGTAAGTATTTAGTAACAGCAATGTGAAGGACAATTATCTAAGTATTCAAAAACAACAGTGTGAAGGACAATTCTGTAAGTATTTAGGAACAGCAGTGTGAAGGACAATTCTGTAAGTATTCACACACAGCAGCGTGAAGGACAATTCTGTAGGTATTTAGTAACAGCAGTGTGAAGGACAATTCTGTAAGTATTCAGTAACAGCAGTGTGAAGGACAATTCTGTAAGTATTCAGTAACAGCAGTGTGAAGGACAATTCTGTAAGTATTCAGTAACAGCAGTGTGAAGGACAATTCTGTAAGTATTCGGGAACAGCAGTGTGAAGGACAATTCTGTAAGTATTTAGGAACAGCAGTGTGAAGGACAATTCTGTAAGTATTCACACACAGCAGCGTGAAGGACAATTCTGTAGGTATTTAGTAACAGCAGTGTGAAGGACAATTCTGTAAGTATTCAGTAACAGCAGTGTGAAGGACAATTCTGTAAGTATTCACAAACAGCAGTGTGAAGGACAATTCTGTAAGTATTCAGTAACAGCAGTGTGAAGGACAATTCTGTAAGTATTCACAAACAGCAGTGTGAAGGACAATTCTGTAAGTATTCACACACAGCAGCGTGCAGGACAATTCTGTAGGTATTTAGTAACAGCAGTGTGAAAGACAATTCTGTAAGTATTCAGTAACAGCAGTGTGAAGGACAATTCTGTAAGTATTTAGAAACAGCAGTGTGAAGGACATTTCTGTAAGTATTCAGTAACAGCAGTGCGAAGGACAATTCTTTAAGTATTTAGAAACAGCAGTGTGAAGGACAATTCTGTAAGTATTCAGTAACAGCAGTGCGAAGGACAATTCTGTAAGTATTTACAAACAGCAGTGTGAAGGACATTTCTGTAAGTATTCAGTAACAGCAGTGCGAAGGACAATTCTTTAAGTATTTAGAAACAGCAGCGTGAAGGACAATTCTGTAAGTATTCAGTAACAGCAGTGTGAAGGACAATTCTGTAAGTATTCGGGAACAGCAGTGTGAAGGACAATTCTGTAAGTATTTAGTAACAGCAGTGTGAAGGACAATTCTGTAAGTATTCACAAACAGTAGTGTGAAGGACAATTCTGTAAGTATTCAGTAACAACAGTGTGAAGGACAATTCTGTAAGTATTCACAAACAGTAGTGTGAAGGACAATTCTGTAAGTATTCAGTAACAACAGTGTGAAGGACAATTCTGTAAGTATTTAGTAACAGCAATGTGAAGGACAATTATCTAAGTATTCAAAAACAACAGTGTGAAGGACAATTCTGTAAGTATTTAGGAACAGCAGTGTGAAGGACAATTCTGTAAGTATTCACACACAGCAGCGTGAAGGACAATTCTGTAGGTATTTAGTAACAGCAGTGTGAAGGACAATTCTGTAAGTATTCAGTAACAGCAGTGTGAAGGACAATTCTGTAAGTATTCAGTAACAGCAGTGTGAAGGACAATTCTGTAAGTATTCGGGAACAGCAGTGTGAAGGACAATTCTGTAAGTATTTAGGAACAGCAGTGTGAAGGACAATTCTGTAAGTATTCACACACAGCAGCGTGCAGGACAATTCTGTAGGTATTTAGTAACAGCAGTGTGAAGGACAATTCTGTAAGTATTCAGTAACAGCAGTGTGAAGGACAATTCTGTAAGTATTTAGAAACAGCAGTGTGAAGGACATTTCTGTAAGTATTCAGTAACAGCAGTGCGAAGGACAATTCTTTAAGTATTTAGAAACAGCAGCGTGAAGGACAATTCTGTAAGTATTCAGTAACAGCAGTGTGAAGGACAATTCTGTAAGTATTCGGGAACAGCAGTGTGAAGGACAATTCTGTAAGTATTTAGTAACAGCAGTGTGAAGGACAATTCTGTAAGTATTCGGGAACAGTAGTGTGAAGGACAATTCTGTAAGTATTTACAAACAGCAGTGTGAAGGACAATTCTGTAAGTATTCGGGAACAGTAGTGTGAAGGACATTTCTGTAAGTATTCAGTAGCAGCAGTGTGAAGGACATTTCTGTAAGTATTCAGTAACAGCAGTGTGAAGGACAATTCTGTAAGTATTCGGGAACAGCAGTGTGAAGGACAATTCTGTAAGTATTCAGTAACAGCAGTGTGAAGGACAATTATCTAAGTATTCACAAACAGCAGTGCGAAGGACAATTCTTTAAGTATTTAGAAACAGCAGTGTGAAGGACAATTCTGTAAGTATTTAGTAACAGCAGTGTGAAGGACAATTCTGTAAGTATTCACAAACAGCAGTGCGAAGGACAATTCTTTAAGTATTTAGAAACAACAGTGTGAAGGACAATTATGTAAGTATTCAGTAACAACAGTGTGAAGGACAATTCTGTAGGTATTTAGTAACAGCAGTGTGAAGGACAATTCTGTAAGTATTTAGTAACAGCAGTGTGAAGGACAATTCTGTAGGTATTCAGTAACAGCAGTGTGAAGGACAATTCTGTAAGTATTTAGTAACAGCAGTGTGAAGGACAATTCTGTAAGTATTCAGTAACAACAGTGTGAAGGACAATTCTGTAAGTATTTACAAACAGCAGTGTGAAGGACAATTCTGTAAGTATTCAGTAACAACAGTGTGAAGGACAATTCTGTAAGTATTTACAAGCAGCAGTGTGAAGGACAATTCTTTAAGTATTTACAAACAGCAATGTGAAGGACAATTCTGTAGGTATTTAGTAACAGCAGTGTGAAGGACAATTCTGTAAGTATTCAGTAACAGCAGTGTGAAGGACAATTCTGTAAGTATTTAGTAACAGCAGTGTGAAGGACAATTCTGTAAGTATTCAGTAACAACAGTGTGAAGGACAATTCTGTAAGTATTTACAAACAGCAGTGTGAAGGACAATTCTGTAGGTATCCAGTAACAGCAGTGTGAAGGACAATTCTGTAAGTATTCACACACAGCAGTGTGAAGGACAATTCTGTAAGTATTCAGTAACAGCAATGTGAAGGACATTTCTGTAAGTATTCACACACAGCAGTGTGAAGGACAATTCTGTAAGTATTCAGTAACAGCAGTGTGAAGGACAATTCTGTAAGTATTTAGGAACAGCAGTGTGAAGGACAATTCTGTAAGTATTCACAAACAGCAGTGCGAAGGACAATTCTGTAAGTATTCAGTAACAGCAGTGTGAAGGACAATTCTGTAAGTATTCACAAACAGCAGTGCGAAGGACAATTCTGTAAGTATTCAGTAACAGCAGTGTGAAGGACAATTCTGTAAGTATTCAGTAACAGCAGTGTGAAGGACAATTCTGTAAGTATTTAGGAACAGCAGTGTGAAGGACAATTCTGTAAGTATTCACAAACAGCAGTGCGAAGGACAATTCTGTAAGTATTCAGTAACAGCAGTGTGAAGGACAATTCTGTAAGTATTCACAAACAGCAGTGCGAAGGACAATTCTGTAAGTATTCAGTAACAGCAGTGTGAAGGACAATTCTGTAAGTATTTAGTAACAGCAGTGTGAAGGACAATTCTGTAAGTATTCAGTAACAACAGTGTGAAGGACAATTCTGTAAGTATTTACAAACAGCAGTGTGAAGGACAATTCTGTAAGTATTCAGTAACAACAGTGTGAAGGACAATTCTGTAAGTATTTACAAACAGCAGTGTGAAGGACAATTCTGTAAGTATTCAGTAACAGCAATGTGAAGGACATTTCTGTAAGTATTCAGTAACAGCAGTGTGAAGGACAATTCTGTAAGTATTCAGTAACAGCAGTGTGAAGGACAATTCTGTAGGTATCCAGTAACAGCAGTGTGAAGGACAATTCTGTAAGTATTCACACACAGCAGTGTGAAGGACAATTCTGTAAGTATTCAGTAACAGCAATGTGAAGGACATTTCTGTAAGTATTCAGTAACAGCAGTGTGAAGGACAATTCTGTAAGTATTCAGTAACAGCAGTGTGAGCAGTGTGAAGGACAATTCTGTAAGTATTCACAAACAGCAGTGCGAAGGACAATTCTGTAAGTATTCAGTAACAGCAGTGCGAAGGACAATTCTGTAAGTATTCAGTAACAGCAGTGTGAAGGACATTTCTGTAAGTATTCACACACAGCAGTGTGAAGGACAATTCTGTAAGTATTCAGTAACAGCAGTGTGAAGGACAATTCTGTAAGTATTCAGTAACAACAGTGTGAAGGACATTTCTGTAAGTATTCAGTAACAGCAGTGTGAAGGACATTTCTGTAAGTATTCAGTAACAGTTATGTGAAGGACAATTCTGTTAGTATTCGGGAACAGCAGTATATTCTTTTTAAAACATTCATTTTTGTAAGTAAAACAAATGAGGTATGTACAGCAAGTCTGGTGTTTATAGCTCTACCGATTTCATTTCATCACAGAAAGATAGAAGTGATATCAGTTAATCAAGCCAAGGTGGATACTCATCGGCCTGACCATAAACTCCATGGGCGTTTATAGCTAGAGTTTGTTCATCTCAAATATGTCACAGATATTATATCACACAATCCACCAAATTATAAAGTGCGTTCGCACATGCGATATCTTTGCGTGTAAGTCACAAGTGCTATATACTCTGGAGTGTAATTGATTGTGATTTCATAATGTCACTATATGTCACTAGTGTTATATACTCTAGAATGAAGTCGATTGTGATTTCATATTGTCACTATATTAATGTCACTAGTGTTATATACTCTGGAATGAAGTCGATTGTGATTTCATAATGTGGACAATAACGTTACGCCATGAATTGAAAATGGTTGCCTTTCTTTTTGTTATCTCTATACATTTTAAATGAAAAACCTGTCAAAATGTCATTTGTGGCCATTGCGATAAAAAGGATCTTAAATTTGTTTTCATTTGAAGAGATTTATGAAACGTGTTTTTTGCTTACTTTTTTTTTTTACTTTTTTTCTTACTTTTTTTTATTCGTCAGGCTTGCAAGAATATAAACTTCACACCAAAAGTGGTATATATCCTTTTGGTACGAGTTTAATCGGTGTCCTTTCATTTCACATAAATTTCCCCACGCCCCTCACAAATCTTGCCCAGAAGAACTTTCATTATGTATCCGTAATCTGGCTGAGGATTTCTTTCTTGACGCGTTACCCACGTTAAGATGCAGAACTATGATTATGATATTGTTTATTACATATACCCTACCAACAACAAAACCAAAAGTCGATCAACACTTCGTGACTTTGTACTTGAGAACAGTAAATGGATATTAGAAATCGTCAGCAGTGTATTGCACCATTGCTTTATGTACGATAGAGTTACTTGGGTGATTTGTTTTCACACTGAGAACTCACGACATGAAGAAATGTAGACCAAAACTTACCTGATTACATGTGACATTATAGAAGCATTTTGAGTGAAGAATATGATTATGTCTAAATTGTTTCCAGATTTACTGTATTGTCGTAGAATGTATCTACCCTATTTCCCGTCGCCTACTTCATGCTATGGATTACTGAAAATGATAAACTGAAAAAAGGAAAACCAATCATGTAAATATTAAATTGTTGGACTGAATTTCAGCAAATTAGTCCCCTGCAGTTAATACCTATGTATTGGTGATTGTTCGGGTGACTAAGAACCCGTTTAAGGTTCCATGTTCATGTTCCGTGATGTTCTATCATTCTCAAACGTCATGATGAAATTGCGGTAAAAATACCTTCCGTGCACGTTGTAATCTGATCTTGTCCGTAAATGAACAAAGTCTGAAAGTTCTTCGATATCTTTATCGATACAATTAATTGCAATATCGGACTGAATGATCGCCTCATCGGCTACATGGTCGTGTTCCGTTATCTTAAAGGTAGGATAATTTGATGCATGATTACCAGCAGGCTGGCACACGCATTGGAATGTAATTACATAGACATTGTTAAAATTGACTTAGAAGCCATGTAGGGCCCAAATTTAAACTCGCTTTTGTAGATGTACTGATTGTAGACCATTTACACCAAACTACATTGATCAATATTCACGGGATAATTATCATAGCTAACTTAAATCTGAAACGTCTTTTGAGACCTTAAACAAACCGCTATACAAAATTTTATGCTATCTTAAAGCTGTATGTACCATAAGATATTACTATGGTGTCACTTATGTTTGGATCTTTTGATACGCCATTTGTTGGTTTTAAACAAGGTAAATGAGTGTTTTTTTTTCTTTTTTGTCATTTCCTGTTTATAGGGAAGCATGTACTTTTCATTACATACTTTAAACAAATAATCAAATTTGTACATTTTTTTAATCTTCATCATTGTCAAACAAATTTAAATTATGAAAAAGAAGTTTCTGTAATTCCTTACGTCATCACCTGCAGTGTAGTTTCCGTTGATTTGAGGGTAAACCATTGAAGTGACGTACTTTCTTTTTTCGCGATAAGAATTATGTCCATGCATGATCTTTTCTTCGCTTAATAGCGCCATCGTCTGTTGAATTCACCACACCATTTATTTGTCCGCTCAAGCTTCTTACTAAGTATGTTTTTATAATAAAGATATTTAGTAATACGTCTTGTGGAGATAATGACTGCTTATAAAATTGCAGATTTTTTTTCGAACTAATTGGCATATATGGCCTAGCGGACTATTTAGGCCTTCGAAATATAAAGATGTGATGCAATCTTAGATTATGAAAGTGCCTGATCTACAAATGCCTTCTTGTCAAAGAGATTTCCTTTATAAACAAAAACCACAACCAGGGGGTTTGTTTTGTTTTCACTGCTGTTATCCACATTTAGTTTCGCATAATGAGGGTTTTTTCCCTGATATGACTGGATGGCACTATAGACAATATGTTTTTACATCACAGTCAGTAAGACCTTGATATGAAACATTCCGATGACTACATATTTGCTTACTTTCATCAGACGAATCTTCTATGCTATGTATACCTAATCCCCTTTATCCTGCTATTGGTGCAATGCAAAGTATGTAGTGCTGGAGAATATTATTGTTAACATGTAAAATTATCGTTTGATTTTTGGTTTTCGTTCCTTTCGTCTTAATAGAACTTCAGACTTGGTTTGGTATCTGCATTCTCTTACTGGATATCTATTAACTAAAATGTATTATTATAAATATATTTGTGTTTAATGTTCTCTACTAGATGGTTATCTAAGATACTACTTTTTGTGTCGAAAATGTGTGTAATTCGATTAATATCTAGAATTACGAACAATATTGGAATACATCTGTGATGTACATAATGTGACGAACAGGCATTTTCAATCCGAAATAGAATATTTTCATGAATAGAAAACCGGGTGAAATGGAGAAATCGGCAATGTTTTACTCACCACTATCAACTCAATAGGGCATCTGATGTCATGTTTGTATGTGTAAGGCACAATACATACAGCAAAAATGAATGTCATGGGGACGGAAGGTACAATTCTAAAGTCATGCTCACAGCGATCGGACCAGTTCTAGTATTTTTCGAGAGAGATGAAAGTAAAACTCTTTTAATATCTTTGACACCAATGCCTTGGTCTACCGCATGTGTTTTAACGAGTGGCAGTAAAACTAATGTTCTCTTTAAATGTGTGTTATCGTTTGTGTCTTTGGTAGCATCAGGCAAAACATAACACTTTCGAGATCAAGTTATAAACTTAGAACTACCAAATAATCCTTAATCCAAGTAACTAACCCCGCAACGCTAGACTTATTAAACGTACAGTCTCATAGGTTAAATAGTACATACCTCAAATACCAGTTGTCCTTCATTTACTTCATCAATTTCTATATCAAGAAACACCTTTGGATTTTTTCCCGACATGATGGCTGCGTCTAGCTGTTTTACTGACCGGAAACTCTATCGGCACTGCACAATAACCTGCTTTTCCTCCGGAAATACGCGTGGAAGCTATGTATCAAGTACATAGATACGATATCAACTCTGCAATATATCACATACCGGATACAGACTTTGGGCAGCACATTTTTATTTATTGTGGAGCAATGTCAAAAGCAACCACGAAAATACCGACATGTCAACAAGATCTTAATTAAAACTAGAAATCGGTGAAACTAGAGTAAAACATTAACAAAAGAAAGATCTACATGGAGAACACTGAAAATATATAAGGAGAAAAAGGTAAGGTGTTCCGGAAGGGTAATCGTTTAGTGCTTCATCGACGACAGCCGCTATGTATATCTTGGTCAACTGAAGTATGTGATTTTATGTTCCAAAATGATTACCAGAAAAAAACAGCGCATGCTGTAAACGAACTTTAACCGGTTATCATTATTTCAATGACAGCACAACGCGACTAATCTATATACATATAGATATATTACAATGGAAACGCGTACTGTATCCCAGGGTATAAAATACCTACAACCTGTCAATTCGGTTATTATTATTTCAATAACGGTGAAACGCGACTAATCTGTAGATACGTAACATAAGAACCTACATTTACTCACTTCCAGCTTTTTCTTTCGAGTAACTGCACAAATGAAGAACCTGGAAATGGACGTCGATCACATAGCTATGACAAACAGATGTAACACGAGCCAATAAAAGAAGTACGCATTGGTTTACGTTACAATTTACACTCATTGAGTCATGCGTTTTGGAGGAAAAGACATATAGCATACCGACAAAAGAATAACCACGGCAAACCCGACCTTGTTCTCCAAGAGTGTGGACATTTCTGTGTTGTAAGCTTTATAAGTTGTTTCCTTCAGAAAGTTCACTTGTCAAATTTTTACACAAACTACGACAGGTCATCACTTTGCACGTGTTTTACACGACCAAAAATGAGAAACAAAAACAAAAACAATATGCTATACAACAAGTAAACAGGGTAATCCTTGTCGAGTCTAGAACTTTGTGCACATTTTATTCTAATTTACTGATGTAATTTTGTATAGCTGAGAAGGACTGATCATCTTCCCGCAACTTCAGGTCCTCAGGTGAGTGCGGTCACGGTCACATATCATAATGTACAGGTGAGTTTCACTTCAGGCATTCAATATTGAAATGATAACCGGTTTGACATGTTGCAGGCCTTTTATTCCCTAGATGCCTGCACTCGTTTCCAAGGGAAGACAGGAAGATATCGTTATTATATTTTATCTCAAAATGAAGTCTTTGTAATTTGCATTGTCAACTTTTTGTAAATTAATCGTAGACATTTAACTTAGAGCCCTTAGTGCCCATAGCTGTCGATCCTTCAGTGTCCACAGCTTTCGAGCTCCAAGGGTCCATAACTGTGGAGTCCCCAGTATTCATAGCTGCCGAACCCCCAGTGTCCACAGCTGTCGAGCCCAGAGTGTCCACAGCTACCTAGCCCCCAGTGTCAATAGTTGTCAAGTCCCAGGGTCCATAGCTGTGGAGCCCCCAGTATCCACAGCTGCCGAGACCCCAGTGTCCCCAGCTGTCGAGCCCAGTGTCCACAGCTACCGAGCCCCCAGTGTCCATAGCTGCCGAACCTCAAGTGTCCATAGCTGTGAAGCCCCCAGTGTCAATAGCTGCCGAGCAGCCCCAAGTGTCCATAGCTATCGATCCTTCAGTGTCTATTGCTATCGTGCCCCCGGGGTCCATAGCTGTGGATCCCCCAGTGTCCACAGCTACCGAGCCCCAAGAGTCCATAGCTCGGGAGCCCCCATTGTCCATAGCTGTCGAGTACTCGGTGTCCATAGCTGTCGAGCCCCCAGTATCCACAGCTGCCGAGCCCCCAGTGTCCCCAGCTGTCGAGCCCAGTGTCCACAGCTACCGAGCCCCCATTGTCCATAGCTGTCGAACCCCCAGTGTATATAGCTGTCGAGCCCCCAATGTCCACAGCTGTCTAACCTCCAATGTCCACAGCTGTCGACCCCCATGTGTCGAGCCCTCAAAGACGTAGGTTGGTCATTGAGGTACCCATTACAGACGAAAAGAGGTCTCTACCGGACTGAGAAACGTAACCTAGTCTTTTCTACATATTTTGTGAACTTTTTTCATGTTATACATTGGTCAATATTTGGTCAATCTCGCACATCAAACACTCATTGGAAAGATGGCGCATTTCTCTTAACGATAATGTATGTGGTACTAAAATCTACGACCTTTAGAATCAGTATCAAATAACATGATTTTAGACAATATGTTCCGTTATCCCTTCACGAGGTTTACAATCTTTGTCCCTTTACAACTTATATATTGACCAAGGGTTGGGAGTTCGTTCTAAGTCTCCCAGTGAGATCTCTTGGGACTTCCGAGGATACAAATTGTCAAGTTTTCTGCAAGAGTTATGTGCCTTCTGCCACATGATGTGATGTCAAAACGTTATAGATAAGACCCACATGATTTCATTGATGGTATGCTATTAACCTGGTCAACCAATCTCATTTCAGTTTGTTTACGAAACGATTTAAAACTTTTTCTTCAAGTATCCGGTTCGTTCTATGTAAACGTGAGTTCGGGATCAATAAAAAGAGTAACGTTTAGTCTTATTTCCCGTCGTGCAGTCAAATTGACAATGCATTCCTTTTGTCAATGTGTGAGTTATATTTCTTACACGGGTGCTATTTATTGTACATATATATATATATTCTGGCTTTTAGGGTGTTCAAAGTAAATTTTGTTTTAAATTGAAAGTGATTAATCAAAGGTTAACCATTGTAAAGGGCACAGTCTACTCTGGACTTAGTGACCAGTCTCAATCAGACTATGTCATTTATGTTTTACAGCGTTTCTTATCAATAGTAGTTCTTATAGTACAACCAGTAGCCGTTTCGATGACTTCACGACTTCCTTCATGACACCAATGCTCATAACTAGTGTGGAGCGTATGTACCTGTATAGACTAATGTAGTGTACGAGATGGTAAGGAGTTGACCACCCTTTCGGGTTTACTGTGATCCTATGTATACCAAGGTGTGACGTGATGGAAAACGAATTAGAGGCGAGAAATCCACAAGATGGTCACAATGTGCTGAAGTCCATTCTGATATGCTTTGCTTAACAGTTGGTCTTAGATGGTCTTAAATAATTTGATCAATCAAATTAACGATTGCTAATCAATAAAATCTTCTGTGTTATTGGATTTGATGAACTTCTACATTTTTTAGTGTGATTTCGTATTGCTTAGCGTGTTATTAATACCTATGGCCATGCAAAGACGTCACGTATTAAGTATGTATGTTTGTGGGAGACTGCAAGATGTTCATGTAAGCCTCCTTGTCAGTAGAAAAAGTCTACGTAACAATGAAGATCTACAATAGTCACTTCCAACGATAACAGACTTTTCCTAACCTGGATGAGGGATGTTGAGAGAATATCCTAACAGGACAGGTGATCAATAACACATTAATGTTATTGGTCATGTGATAGGCATTCCTTAGAGAGAGAAAGAGAGAGAAAAAAAGTAATTCTGGACACAATCACTATTAATTGGAACGGTGTAATTTTGTTCTGATCGATACGATACATTAGTGACTATAGGGATTAGACCACGGCAGACTGATACCTTCCTTTTGAGACTTACATGCCGTAGTAATGATGGATTACGGTATAAAAAGGCAACATCAGGATGAAGCATCCCCGACAATCACTCGCACTGAAGGCACCTCATTATGTTAAAACCTGCGGAGCATGCACTGATTATTTCCCTTCAAAACACATTTAAATGCCGTTGTACGACAGAAACATGAAAAATAAGAATATTGATATAGCTGGTTTACTTTTTCTCGCACATACGAAATGTTATCAGTTGCGCTATTGGGATACCGTAAAACGAGAACTTATACAGTCCTCGGACTTAATTATGCCTTATAAAGAATGTTCACAAGAACACTGGTTTAGTGGTGTGAACATGTCTGGTACGCGAAACCTTTTCCTCGAATCTGATCATGTGTGGATACTCGCTTCATAAGACATTTTGTTATGACTAATTGCTTTGCCTTTTCCTGTTTGGCCGAACAGTACTTGTAAAGTTTTGCCAAAACACAATATCATCTCCGAAAAAGCCAGTCACCTGCACGCGAGGTTAAAATGAAAATATCCGTTAACCTGCCGGAAGTCTGTAAACCCGCTGTAATTTGCAGCCTCATACACAGAGGTTAATAGTCTGTTCATCCCTCTGCCTAGTATCATTTCAATTAAAACGTGATCAGTCATAATGATACACACAAAATGTATACTATAATTAATCGTATATATTGCAGTTCCGTGTATGTTATTCTCTATTTGGATTCAATTATATGATAGTATCCAGCACTAACGCATGATTGTTGTATTATAGATTTTTGGCGAAAACTTTCATTGAAAGCATTCTCAGTGTATAATATGAAAACTTTGACACATTTTAGACAAATATTTTAAGATCAAGTAACACTAATTCCAAAACTTGATGTTCCATGTTTTAATTGTTAGCGTGTTATAAATTGTTTTATAGTCAATCAATAGCGCTTAGTGGTTATTGGCGGATAAAACCCAAAGCACGTTATTGAACGGTCGGGAAAATAGCGCCTTCTATGTTAATGGCAGATTAATTTTTTTGTTTTTTAAATGCAGCAGTTTCAATTTTCTCATGTTTGTTTGCTTGGTTTATCACACCGTGAACAGCTAGGGAGAGAGCTATGATGTTTCTTTGGAGTGGTAATTTGCATATTTGGTACAAAATATGCAAATTATCACTCCATTGAAACATGCGATCTTCAACCAATTCCGTTTTGGCGCCAAAGTTCGATTCCCAATGGTTCCTACCGATTTACATACGATCTCATTTTCTACATTCTACTTCTGGTCTAGTCTCATCAATGCGAAATTGTTACTTTGAGAAACCTGGATGTATGAGATGAGTTGAGATTAGCTGGAGGTGAGCTGAGGTATCCTGAGGAGGGTTGAGATAGAGTGTTACATTGTAGGAGATGGTAATATCCTGAAATAATGTTATTTGAAATGGTGTAATTTGCTCATCGGGTTAGTTTTCTCGTCAGTGACTTTCGACAAGCTTGTACAATATGTATTTGGATTGTCGGGTCAGTTGTCACGTCAGTGAATTCGACAAGCTTGTACAGTATGTATTTGGATTGTCGGGTCAGTTGTCACGTCAGTGACTGTCGACAAGCTTGTATAGTGTGTATTTGGATTGTCGGGTCAGTTGTCACGTCAACGACTTTCGGCAAGCTTGTACAGTGTGTATTTGGATTGTCGGGTCAGTTTTCACGTCAGTGACTTTCGACAAGCTTGTACATTGTGTATTTGGATTGTCGGGTCAGTTTTCACGTCAGTGACTTTCGACAAGCTTGTACAGTGTATATTTGGATTGTCGGGTCAGTTTTCAAGTCAACGACTTTCGACAAGCTTGTACAATATGTATTTGGATTGTCGGGTCAGTTGTCACGTCAACGACTTTCAACAAGCTTGTACAGTGTGTATTTGGATTGTCGGGTCAGTCTTCAAGTCAACGACTTTCGACAAGCTTGTACAGTGTATATTTGGATTGTCGGGTCAGTTGTCACGTCAACGACTTTCGACAAGCTTGTACAGTGTGTATTTGGATTGTCGTGTCAGTTTTCAAGTCAACGACTTTCGACAAGCTTGTACAGTGTATATTTGGATTGTCGGGTCAGTTTTTACGTCAGTGACTTTCGACAAGCTTGTACAGTGTGTATTTGGATTGTCGGGTCAGTTTTCACGTTAGTGACTCTCGACAAGCTTGTACAGTGTATATTTGGATTGTCGGGTGAGTTTTCAAGTCAACGACTTTCGACAAGCTTGTACATTGTGTATTTGGATTGTCGGGTCAGTTTTCACGTCAGTGACTTTCGACAAGCTTGTACAGTGTATATTTGGATTGTCGGGTCAGTTTTCACGTCAGTGACTTTCGACAAGCTTGTACAGTGTGTATTTGGATTGTCGGGTCAGTTTTCACGTCAGTGACTTTCGACAAGCTTGTACAGTGTGTATTTGGATTGTCGGGTCAGTTTTCACGTCAACGACTTTCGACAAGCTTGTACAGTGTGTATTTGGATTGTCGGGTCAGTTTTCACGTCAGTGACTTTCGACAAGCTTGTACAGTGTGTATTTGGATTGTCGGGTCAGTTTTCACGTCAGTGACTTTCGACAAGCTTGTACAGTGTATTTGGATTGTCGGGTTGTTTTCACGTCATTGTTGTACAGTGTGTATTTGGATTGTCACGTCAGTGACTTTCGACAGTTTTCACGTCAGTGTGTGTATTTGGATTGTCGGGTCAGTTTTTACGTCAGTGACTTTCGACAAGCTTGTACAGTGTGTATTTGGATTGTCGGGTCAGTTTTCACGTCAGTGACTTTCGACAAGCTTGTACAGTGTGTATTTGGATTGTCGGGTCAGTTTTCACGTCAGTGACTTTCGACAAGCTTGTACAGTGTGTATTTGGATTGTTGTACAGTGTGTATTTGGATTGTCAGTTTTCACGTCAGTGACTTTCGACAAGCTTGTACAATATGTATTTGGATTGTCGGGTCAGTTTTCACGTCAGTGAATTTCGACAAGCTTGTACAATGTATATTTTGATTGGAGTCGGGTCAGTTTTCACGTAAGTGACTTTCGACAAGCTTGTACAGTGTGTATTTGAATTGTCGGGTCAGTTTTCATGTCAACGAATTTCGACAAGCTTGTACAGTGTGTATTTGGATTGTCGGGTCAGTTTTCACGTCAACGACTTTCGACAAGCTTGTACAGTGTCACATTGGATTGTCGGGTTAGTTTTCACGTCAGTGACTTTCGACAAGCTTGTACAGTGTGTATTTGGATTGTCGGGTCAGTTTTCACGTCAGTGACTTTCGACAAGCTTGTACAGTGTGTATTTGGATTGTCGGGTCAGTTTTCACGTCAGTGACTTTCGACAAGCTTGTACAGTGTGTATTTGGATTGTC